GGTTTCCGAAAAAGACGCCCCGAAGAAGGAACAGAGTTGGTATTGTCTGCGGAGGATGGGGGGGTCCCCGGCGTTGCAGGCAGCGGAAGGGGTGCGATCAAAGGGGAGACCCCCCTCCAAAAAATAAAACCCCGAGAAGCGGGCTCCGAACAAAGCTCGCCCCCCAAACTGTGCGGGCTTGGCACGCGCCGCGAGCGTCTCCCGAGCGGCCCCCGACGCCGACCCCCTCCTCACCCCGGCGCTCTCTGGAAGCCCCCCTCGGGCCCGGGAGGCGTGGGGGGTGGTGGTGGGGGGACGGCGGGCTTTTATGGATGTGTTTTTAAGACGTTCGGCGGTGCGGCCAGTAAAAGGTTTATGACATCTGAGCGGCAGTGAAGGTATGCGAGCTCGCGATCGCCCTGTAGACGGGGAGCCGAGCGGTTTCCCCGTTGCCTGGCAACGCCGCTGATGGACGCGGGACGCAGCCAATGGCCGCCCCCGCTGGTCCCCTTGAAATGTTTTTGACAAGTACAGTAGCCGGGAGTGGGGCGCGTGCGTGCGTGCGTGCGTGTGTGTGTGTGTGTGTGTGTGTGTGTGTGTGCGCGCGCGCGTGTGTGTGTGTGTGTGTGCGCGCGCGCGCGCGCCCAGGGAGGCTCCTCAGACCGCCCCCCCCCATCTCCCCCCAGCCCCTCAACTCGGCCTGGGGTGGATTGCTCAACTTTTTTTGTTTTTGTTTCTTAAGTTTACGTTGAACATCTATGCCGAACTGGGCCAGTCAGGGCTTTTGTCAGTTATTTGGAGAACGTCTGAGAGATGGATACAAACTAGCCTCCCTGCGGTATAGTCTTAAAAAGAAAACCAGATCGCTACACCGCAAGTCAGAGAGAGAGGAGAGAGGAGAGGAGAGAGAAGAGAAAGGAGAAAAAGAAAGGAGAGAGAGAAGAGAAAGATAGGGAGAGAGGGGGAAAAGAGATGGAGAAAGAGTGGGAAAAGGTGAAAGAGGTGGAGAGGGACAGAGAGAAGTGGGAGGGAGAAAGATGGGGAGAAAAGAGGTGGAGAAAGTGGGAGAGGGAAAGGGGGGAAGAGATGGAGAAAGAATGGAAGAGGGGGAAAGAGGTGAGGGGAGAGAGAGCAAGAGCGCGCAGAGAGGGTATGTGTGTCTGTATGTGGGGGTGGGTGGAAACATAACCCACAGCAAACCTCAAAGTTGTAAGGAGGTCACTAGTTAACAGTATCTGGCGTAGCATCCTATTGGCAGCTGATGAAAACTGTTTGCTGAATTGCAGACTGACATGATCCAGATCCCCTCCCTTCTGCCCCCCCCCCTTAAAATAAGAGAAAAAAAAAAGATTGGTGAATTATGTACTAAGAGTATAATAATGGAAAACTCCTCAGCTGTGATTTCTGGAAACTGATTTTTAAAATGGAACTGTAATGATCAGTGTTTGATACTGTTGCTGTAGAATGCGGGTGCATCGGGGTGCGTGAACGGTTTGGAGGGGCTGCGGAGGGTGGAAACGACATAACAGGCAAAGGATCTACGGGTCCCGAGCCTCCGAAACCCTCCTTTCTTGAAAGTGCCATTTTTCTAATAAACCATATTGTGGGCAGTGTTTGTTTAAAACAAAAGAAAACATGGAGAATAGCGTGTTAGTTCCTTCGGGAAGCTACTGACAAATAAGCAAATTAAAAAGAAAGAGAGCAGCATGTTGTCATAGCAACAGTGCAATTAAATTACTTTACTGTCAGCCATGATATAATTTTCCTGTTTGTAAGCTCAAGAGACAGAAAACTTTCATCTGGAGCGAAAGTTGACTGCCGTGTCTGGGTCGTTGTTCTTTCCTTGTTCTCTTTTGTACTCTGCGGGGTGGATATGTTGGGTTATCAACAAATGTGTGGTTTTTTTTTTCCTTTTCTTTTTTTTTTTTTTCCTGATTGGGATCCCAGGAAACTTTGAGAGACATGCAGAGCTTTGAATAGTCCACACAGCAAGTCAAAAAAACAAACAAACAAAAAAAATGAGCACATCAAAAGCCAAGATGGCAGCATTTAAGGGTTCCAAGTGCCCATGCACACAACACCGAAAATACTGAGGGTGGTCCTAAACCTTAGGTGATCTGTGCATGTGCAGAGTCCGGGGACCAAGTGGAGGAAATAGGTGTAGGAACTGCCACACCTGGGGATGGGGGTCCCTGAGCCCCAGGGTGGTTTACTCCCTGCTTATTTTGTAAGGTTCTTTGTGCCAGGCTGGGTTCCTGTAGCCGGAAGTTGCTACACCTGCGTGCACCCTTGGCTAGCCGTGGCCTGCCTCACTTTATGCTTTCTAGAATCCCGTTCTAGAGCTTCCTGAGCTGAAGTGGCAGTTATTTTAGGTGTTGTGTTCATGGACAATTGAAATCCTAAAACGCTTCTGTCTTGGCTTTTGATGTGCTCAGTTTTTTTTTTTCCCCTTTACATGTATGATGTCTCACAGAGAGAAGCATAAAACAGGCGTGGCTTAGCGCCGTGTGTGGCGGTTACTCTGCTTCCTTTTTCACGTGCAGAGCCCAGGGTGCCCAGCACTGCATCTGCTGTGCTGGGCTCCTTGAGTGTGTGTGGACTTGCCAACTGCTCATTTTCTTGTCTCAGCCACTACTTCACGCCTGTTCTAGGTCACTGATAAAAACAGCCGGGTGGCTGAAGCCCGGAGTGGGGGGCAGAAATGATCTCAAAAAAATTTGAGCAGCTTTCTGTTTTGTTTTGTTTGGGGGCCACACCCGGCAGGGCTCAGGGCTTACTCCTGGCTCTGCACTCAGGAGTCCCTCCTGGCAGGGATCCGGGGACCACATAGGGGACCGGGGATGCAACCCGGGTCATCAGTGTGCAAGGCAAGCGCCCTCCTTCCCTGCTCCAGCCCCATCTGTAGCACTGCTGTTTATTTGTTCATTTGGTTTTGGTTTTGGGGCTACTCCCTCCCGGCCTTACATAGGGCTTACTCCTGACTCTGTGCTCCCTCCAGAAGGCTGCATGCAAAGCAGGCTCCTTACCTGCTGTGCTATCTCTCACCCCTCTGCAGCCATCTTTGTTGAATTTGCTCACCTGCCCTCAAAACCTGCCTGTGACTCTTCTGACTTTTTCTAGCAAGCCCAATTTCAGCAAATGGCCTGTCTTTTTCTTTTCCACTGATGTGTATGCTGTCTGAAGTTACCGTTTCACTCTGGGGGTGCGGTCCCTGAAGTGAAGCTGCTTCTCCTCCCAATTCAAATCCACAGAGTTCCTTATCAATCTTCTTCTTATTACTATTTTGGACTGGGTTTGGGGCCTGCACCTGGCATTGCTCAGGGGTTATTCGCATTGGTGCTCTCGGGACCAGGTGACTTGGGCCGGGCTTCTCGCCTGTAGAGCGCACTCACTAACCCTTTCTGATTTCTCTCTCCCCAGCCCCTGTTAGCACCCTTTAGCCTTTAGACCCGTCCACTGGAATTGAGGTTCTGGAATGTTTGGAAGTTCTTTTCTAAAACTTTCTTTTGTTGCTGTTGAGAATCAGATCCGGGGCCCTCAAAAGCAAATCTCTACCATTGAGCTGCGTCCGCCGTCCAGAGTTCTGGAATTTTTGGTCATGACTTGCAAGCTAAAAAATAAAACAACACCCACCCCCAGATGCCTGTCCCCTATGGCCACTTTTTAATTCCAAGGCGTTTGTGATGGTCGTTGTATAGAAGCAGCTAGACTTACTCGAAAACAACTGACAACTAACATCAAACTGTTTTTTTTTTTTGGGGGGGGCTGGGGCCATACCCAGTGCTCAGGGGTTACTCCTGGCTCTAGACTCAGCGATCTCGGGGGGACCATATGGGGTGCCAGGGATTGAATTCAGATTGAATATGTGCAAAGCAGATGCCCTACCTGCTGTCCTACACTATGCTGCCACTCGCCTATAAACTGAACTTTTTTTAAAAAAAATTTGTTTTTCAAGGACTAAGGGGCAGGAGATATGTGTTGTGCCATGATTATTTTAAAACATAAAGCCATTTCATAGAATGTTTGTGCATTCATGCCTGAGAGGGAAACTAAGAGGCACCAGCGAGCACTGTTTCCTAGGGTCTCAGGCAAAGTCTTTTCTGAACCAGAGAGATGGCCTGGTGGGATTTCCCCCTTAAAAAATTTTTTTTGTGTGTGTGGGTGTTTTTTGTTCTGTGTTTTCAGCCACACTTGGTGGTGCTCAAAGCTTACTCCTGCCCTCTGTGCTCAGGAATCACTCCTTGCAGTGCTCAGGAGACTGTGTGCGGGGCCGGGGATTGAACTGGGGTCATCTGCTTTCAAGGCATGTGCCCTCTGCACTCTCGGTCTCTCTAGCCCCCTCGCTGACGCCCCCTTCCCCCCCACATTTGTATGTTTTCGGAGCTACGTGTCTTTCCAGGTGGGCTGGCTGCATCCTGCTGCCTATGCTGTGGGCGGCTGGTGTGATGCAGTAACACAGTCTCTCTCATTGTGGGGGTGGGGGGGATGGTGGTGGGCTTGCCAGGCTACCCTGTGATGCGGGGGGGCCCCCAGCCCCATGTCGGAACAAGGCTTGTCAGCCAGAACCAGCTGCCTGGGTATCTCTGGTGATGATCTGGGCCTTTTGTCTGTCCTGGGCGGCTACACTGGGCCATGTGAGTCCCCGTCCTGAGGACAGGCTGTGTCTGACACTGTTGGGACGGGGCGGGATGGGGTTTGGGAATCTCACAGAGTTCCATTCCCAGTGTATCCATTCCTAGCAGGGTAATCTTGAAAAAATTCCGTTCCCTCCAGAACCTCAGGTTCTTCGTCCTCAAGCTCAAGCAAGCAGCACCCACCCTCCGGTGGGGTGCTCGAGAGAGTGGCATAGCAGACATGGGCTTAGCTTAATCTCTCTGCTCAGAGCCTCCTACTGGAGGCCAGGAAGGGTGGTGGTGGTGGGGTGGAGGTGATGGGGAGGCAGGGCGGCGAGGTGGGCGTGTGACGGCCTTGTATGTGGGGTCTTCTCTGCTCACCTGTCCCCTCTGTTCTGCGATCCCCAGGAGCCTTCATGTAAATGGGCCCAGTCATGCCGCCCAGTAAGAAGCCAGAAAGCTCAGGAATCAGCGTGTCCAGTGGGCTGAGTCCGTGTTACCGGGGCAGCAGCTTCTCCCAGGCCCTGCAGGAAGATGATGACCTCGACTTCTCTCTGCCCGACATCCGCTTAGAGGAGGGGGCCATGGAAGATGAGGAGCTCACCAACCTGAACTGGCTGCACGAGAGTAAGAACTTGCTGAAGAGCTTCGGGGAGTCAGTCCTTCGGAGCGTCAGCCCCGTCCAGGACCTGGACGATGACACCCCCCCTTCCCCCGCCCACTCCGACCTGCCCTACGATGCCCGGCAGAACCCCAACTGCAAGCCCCCCTACTCCTTCAGCTGCCTCATATTCATGGCCATCGAGGACTCGCCCAGCAAGCGCCTGCCCGTGAAGGACATTTATAGCTGGATCTTGGAACATTTTCCCTATTTTGAAAACGCACCGACGGGGTGGAAAAACTCGGTGAGACACAACCTGTCCTTGAACAAGTGTTTTAAGAAAGTGGATAAAGAGAGGAGTCAGGTAAGCTGGAGTTCCGCGCGGCGCAGGCTTCTGAATTTCTCGCCAAATAAAAGTGTCACTGCACGCCAGCTTGTCTCTCTGCAAGTTGCAGTTCTTGGGGGGATCATTCTTCTTCGTTTCCTGTGGCCTATAGGAAAGACCTTTCTTCTTCCCCACAGCCTGTTGTTCTTGTGTCCCCGTGCTGACCGAAGGGTTTCCCAGCTCTGATTCTCATTACCGAGCCTGTTCTGCACCATCCTGGGCTTAAATGGTGCCCCCTCTGGGTTGGAGGGATAACTTTTGTTTTTGGGTAACACCTGGATGGTGCTCCGGACTTGCTCCTGAGTTTGTGCTCAGGGATCGCTTTTAGTGGGGCTGGGGATTGAACCTGGGTTGCTTGCCAATGCCTTGCCCGCTGTACCGTTTCTCTGATCCCGAGGGATCCTTTGGGATTAAGAGTCCAAGCCGAGGTGCGGATGCCAGAGGCTGCCAGGAGCCATGAGGCACGTGTGTATATAGTATCTGAGGAAAAATGCCGCCGATGCCAGAGGAGAATGGCATTTGTTTTCTTTCTGAATATCACCTGGAGACACTCAGCTTCTTCAGGGTTCTGGAATAAATGGACAGAAATGGCCATCGGGAGCTCACTTGTTGTACTTAAAAACTGGGGATGAAACAGCAGTGTGAATTACCAGGATGTTCTAAAGAGCAGGCAAATGGTTGGGAAGTACTTGGCCATTCTGAAGCCCTTAGGATTTTTTTTTCCCACTTTATATTAGGTTTTTGCAGTGCCAGGGATCAAACCCAGTCCTCCTGTATGCACAGTACCCAGCTTTTGAGCAATCTCCCTGTATCTTGCTCCTCACCCACCCCCCGCTTTTTTTTTTTTTTTGGCCGACTTGAACCCAGAATTTCACACATACAAAGCAAGAGTCTCATTCCTGGTACAAAGTTCTCATTAGAAACTGACTTAAAAACAGGGTGAATTTGAAAAAGCTCATACAGCTGGTAAGGCACTATCTTTGCATGCGGACAACCAGGTTTGAGCCTACCAGAAGTGATCTGTTTTGTTTTGTTTTTTTCTTTGTTTTTGGGTCACACGCGGTGATGCACAGGGGCTACTCCTGGCTCATGCACTCAGGAATTACTCCTGACGGTGCTCAGGGGACCCTATGGGTTGCTGGGAATCGAACCTGTGTTAGCTGCGTGCAAGGCAAACTCCCTACCCGCTGTGCTATTGCTCCAGCCCCAGGAGTGATATCTGAATGCAGAGCCAGGAGTAAGTCCTGAACACAGACAGGTATTCCCCCAAATCAAAAAAAGAAAGAAAAGAAAGAAAGAAAGAAAGAAAGAAAGAAAGAAAGAAGAAAATTAAAAGGAAAATGGAAAATTTTTTTGTGATGTTGGGGAATCAAACTCAGGTGTCATCCATGTAAAGGAGGCACATGCTTTGCCCCACTGAGCCACATCCTTGGCCAACTGAGATGGAATTTATTTTATTTTAATTCTATTTTTTAAATTTAATTATTTTTTAATTTTTAAATTATTTATTTTTTATATAGGAGTACTGCTATTTATTCAGCCACTGATTAGCTGATTGAATTGGGCATGAACTCCACTTTAATTTTTTTTTTTTTTTTTTTGCTTTTTGGGTCACATCTGGCGATGCACAGGGGTTACTCCTGTCTCTGCACTCAGGATTTATTCCTGGCGGTGCTCAGGGAACCATATGGGATGCCGGGAATCGAACCCGGGTCGGCCACGTGCAAGGCAAACGCCCTACCCACTGTGCTATCTCTCCAGCCCCTCCACTTTAAATTTTTTAATGAATCACCACGAGATACAGACTTACAAACTTTCATGGTTATGTTTCAGTCATACAATGATCAAGTGCCCATCCCTCCATCAGTGCCCATTCTCCACCACCAATGGTCCCAGCATCCCTCTCACAACCCTCCACCTCTACCATCACCTCTGTGGCAGGCACATTCCCTTCACTCTGAGATGGAATTTTGACTTTAAACCTTTAGCTCAAGTGTCATGACTTGCTTAGATGGGGTTGTGTTCTTGTTTTTGTAAAAATGGGGGGAGGGGAGAGTTGGGGTCACATCAGGGCTTCCTCCTGGCTCTGTGCTCAGAGATGCTTCTGGCAGAGCTTTGGGGAGTCCAACTCGGGCCTGCTGCAAAGCAAGGCAAGTGCCCCCCGCTGTCCGTACTATCTCTGACCGCAAGATCTGTTCGGTGATTAGCTTTGCCCTTCTTTCATGGGATTGGATGGGTACTCTGCAAACAGCATCGGCCTATTAGAGTAGGAAGATGTGAGCTCTGAAAAGCTTGGTGGCTGCAGTTAAAACAAAGTACTGGAAAATGTCTCTGAGCAGGTTCCACGGGGCTGTGGTTCCCAGCGTCCCCTGGCACGGGGACAGCGTGGCTGTGACCCCGCAGGCCGGCTGCTTTTCCTCTCTGGGAAGTGCCAGTGTGTGCTCAGGGCGCCCAGACTGTGCAGTGGGAGTTTGTTTCTTTATTTCCTTTTGTTCAGGGGAACTGGGGCTGCTCTTGGTGGTCCTCTGCCTGTTGGGCCTGATTTATTACAGTTCTGCCCCTTGGACCCAGGAGTGCCGGGACCCACATCTAGTGATGCTGCGGGCGTTGTGGTGCTTGGGCCTGAACATCAGGTCTTTTTTTTTTTTTTTTTTTGCTTTTTTGGGTCACACCTGGCGATGCACAGGGGTTACTCCTGGCTCATGCACTCAGGAATTGGTGCTCGGGGGACCCTATGGGATGCTGGGAATTGAACCCCGGTCAGCTGCATGCAAGGCAAATGCCCTATCTGCTGTGCTATCTATCGCTCCAGCCCCTGAACTTCAGGTCTTGAACATGCAAAGTGTGTGCCCCTGGTCCCTCTGGTCTCTCCTTGCCCCTCCAGTGAAATTCGGAGCCAGAGACGGGAGCAGGAAATGGTGCTTCTCCTGCCTGCTGCAGGCTCTACTCTTCTCCCAGAGTTCACTTTTGTTCCTGAGGGTGCTGCAGGGTTGGGTGGGGTGTTGCCTTGGACTAGCAAATAGTGGCCTCCAGCACTGGAGCCTGAGCCTTTGAGTGTAAATCCAGTGTACTCATGTATTCTGGACGCCCCCTTTTTCTCCATATAGTTTGTCATCACGATCACGATCATCCTGTTGTCCGTCGATTGCCTCCAGCAGGCCCCAGTAACGTCTCCTTTGTCCTAACCCTGAGATTTTAAAAAGTGCCATATTCAAGGCTTTTTCAGGGTTAGAAGAATGAGACCCATCATTGTTACTGGTATTTGGCATATTGGGTGTGCCCCGGGGAGTTTGCCGTGTGGGCAGGTTACATTCGGTAGCCTTCCAGGTTGTCCAAAGTAAGAATGAGATAATAAGATGTCGCTTCCGGGAGCTGGGTTTTATAGTCTCTGGGTCTTGGCCGTTGATGGGATTACACGGCACCGAGGGCCAGTTGGTGGGTGTGGCCCCCACCTACTGGAAGATGGAGGATCTGGGTGGAGGATGCTCAGCCCCGATCCGAGCAGGCTTGGAGATCTCAACCCTGGGACCCGCATGCCGTTACCTTCATGCGTGTGGAGGTGGTCTCAGCATGGTTGTGGCTGGTTCTGGAGGTCTTTGGCTGCCGGGACTCTGCTCGGGGCGGGGAGGGAAGCTCAACCTGCCCCCATCCAAGGGGCCCCGGCGAGGGCAGCCAGGCGCGGGGGCAGGAGACTCTGCACTGTTCTCTTCCCAGACCTGGGTTTATAGTCATAACTGAAACAGTAAAAAGATACTGCTTTTATTTTTTAAATTAAATGATTACATTTTATCAATTTTTTTTCCGGGGGTGGGGGAAGTGTGGTGACAGTGTCACACTTCAGTGATGCTCAGGGTTTACTCCTGGCTCTATGCCTCTATGCTCAGGGAATACTCCCTTGCAGTGCTCAGAGGACCATCCATGGTGTCAGGGATTAAGCCCTGGTGAGCTGTGTGTAAGGCAAGCACACTATCCCCGTTTTTTTTTCTTTTTTTTTGTTATTTTGGGTCACATCCAGCGATGCACAGGGGTTACTCCTGGCTCTGCACGCAGGAATTACTGCTGGCGGTGCTCAGGTATCCGCGGTATTATATCTCTGACTCATTTGGTTTGGGGGCTGCTCCGATGATGCTTTGGGCGTCATACCCGCATCTCCACCTGCAGAGTGTGCCTTTCAGCCTGTGCTGCTATTTCCGTAGCTCAGGGTGCTGCTTTGACCTGGGAGGTCTGCGACACGCAGCTCTTACCCCTTCTCCTCCCCTCCACTTGACTTCTGGACTGGACAGTGTTGTTTTTTGTTTGGAGGAGGAGGAGGAAGAGGGTTGAAACCATACCTGGCAGTGCTCTTAGGGCTATTCTGGTTCCGTGCTCAGGGATTGCTTTCAGCCATGCTTGGGGGAACTGTGCGGTGCCGGGTTGGAGCTATAGCACAGCGGGTAGGGTGTTTGCCTTGCACGCGGCCAACCCGGGTTCGATTCCCAGCATCATATATGGTTTCCTGAGCACCTCCAGGAGTAATTCCTGAGTGCAGAGCCAGGAGTAACTCCTGTGCATCACCAGGTGGGACCGCTCCCCACAAAAAAAAACAGCAAAAAAAAAAAATGGGGCTGGAGCGATAGATAGCACAGCGGGTAGGGTGTTTGCCTTGCACGTGGCTGACATGGGTTCAATTCTCAGCATACATATGGTTCCCTGAGCATCTTCAGGAGTAATTCCTGAATGCAGAGCCAGGTGTAACCCCTGTGCATCGTCGGGTGTGACCCAAAAAAGCCAAAAAAAAAAAAAAAAAGTCGAGTGCCTTAACCCCTGTACCTGCTCTCTGGCCTCTGGACTTGTTGATTGTTTTGAGAATCTTTTGGGGACTCTGAGTCATCGTTTCGCAAGCCTTTGGTACCGACAGCTTTTGTAGAAGCGAGTGCTCGCGCCACGAGCAGACAGCCTTAGAAAGCAGTTCCAGGTGGAGAGAGAGAAGGAAGTGCAGA